ACTATATAGTGTGTGTGTGTGACAGAGACGTAACCCTTTGTGCGATGGTGCACCTCCTTCTCTCTCCTTGCCCAAGTGATGTGTGGGCTGAGGGTTCCCTTGTGACCAGAGAACCGTTATCTCTCTCTCTCTCTCTTTCTTTCTCTCTCTTTCTTTCTTTCTCTCTCTCTCTTCATATACTGTACTCGTATTGTAACAAACATTCTTTTTCATCCATATCCAGTTCCCCATTCCTATCTTACACATAAACAGACTTAATAAGCAATACATTACAAGTCAAACAATAACAATATATTAGTAATGAAACTAGTTAAGATCAGGTGTGTACCCGTCCTTGTCAGTGCCTCACGGTTCAGAGGCTGGTGAGGCCCTGACCTATACATCACGTTCTCACCAAGTAAATTTCTATAATATTTTGTTGACCAGGTGGTATTGTTATGAGTAATGTCAAGCGATTTGTTTTCTTAGGTTATTAATATTATTGTTAGTCATTTTGTTGATTGGTGAATGTTATTGTTGATGTTAGTAGTAAATGAGTCTGTTGGGTGGTAAGTAGTACTGTCGTGGTAAAGAGTGTAGGAGGTAGGGTGTTGTTGGGTCGAGCGCCAGGAGGGTAATGTGGTGCTCCGACAGTGAAAACATAGACAAATAGCGCGGGACGCCACCCAACACATTCTTCTATCTTATTCCACCAATTCTACACGACTTAGGCAACGTCATTCTATTCGTTAACTAACATTATAATAAATCTTGATAATATTATACTTTCAGAATCTCTTAAGGAATTGTAGATAATTGTTCTTAAACGAATTTTGCCGAGATATCGAGTGAGGTGGTGATGGTGGAGATGTGGCACATTGGCCAAGACGTGGGCAGTAGTGGGTGTGTGTTGCTGGGTCACGGGGTCAACTTGTATGACATCTTCCTGTTCACCAAGCAGCTGTATCTATGATTGGTGGAGGTATTGGTTTACTTGTGCAAATATGTGAGCCCTTTTTAGTGCTGTCACATTTCGGGTGTTTTACTGCTGAGGGTAGAGACGAGGACCACTCTGATTTGTGTTTTTGTCGGTAGCTACGTACTATTTATGTATTGTTGTATGTGTCAGCCACTGGACACTCGCTGCAGAAAGTGTCTACTGTACAAGGTGGCGTCCGATGGATGTTAAAATGAACACTGTGACTTCTGTTGTCTCGGTACGGTTGCCAAAATCCTTCGCATATGATTAAAAGACTTGGTTGTTGAAACACAGAAAGGCATGATTATATTAAGGAAGATCTGTTCATCATGATGTCTTGTTGTTTAGTGTATGAATTAACTCTGTGGACGTGCTGAAAAACCTTAAGCAAAGAAGAGAGAGAGACTCGGATAGTTATTTTGTCCACCTGAGTCAACCTGTCTACCTTATCGTGCATGTGGCTACTCTATTTGCCTACATTGTATATATTGTAATATAGTCTCTCTCTCTCTCTCTCTCTCTCTCTCTCTCTCTCTCTCTCTCTCTCTCTCTAGGCAGAGAGAAGCATCGTCACTTCGTCTTCAACGAGGAAGGAATGCAGTAAATTGGATAATTGGTGACCATTACGTTGATAATAAGGATTTGCCTCGGCTCGATCATACGTTTCTGCCACATCTGGAACCACAAGTGTCCCCCAAGCACGAGTACTCCAAGCATGGTCAGGTGTGTGTGTGTGTGTCAAGTGTATGCCATCTATGTATCAGGTGTATGTCAAATGTACAGTATGTCATCTACAGTATGCGTCAGGTATGTGGTTTTACTCAAGTCATCATCATTTACGTGAAAAGAATGATTTTAAGAGTCTTTGATAATAATCTTGAATCAGTGTCATACTTCCCTTTGGCGTCACATTCTAACATAAAAATAGTACCGTCGCCGCTGGCCTCACTCAGTCCTTGGAGAGTTTTCACGGTGTAGTAAAAAAACAAATACTTGGTCTTGCTCTCTAATTCTGACCAGGAAATTTTACGTAGGAGATTGAACCACACCCAAATGTACTCAGATTCATAAATGTTTGTTTCCCAGAGACATGCAGTTTCTCGTATCTTAATCTCACGACTGATGGAAACATTGAATAACGTGAGCCTGCCAGCGCCAGAATTTTGACATCCGTGGAGTAGTGAGAGACGTCGACCAATACGGTGAACTCGTCAGTATGTTTGTTTCCTTGCAATTGTTTGTCCATTCCATGATGCATCTTACCGAGAGAATATATTAAGAATGAAAATTACAACTGGGGATACTTTATTGCTTCTCAAAATGTGTAGATCAAAACTAAACTTAAAAACAAGGGAAAATGGGCATTCACTTTAATCCTAAAATTCCACATGAACCGATTATTTGACGGTCGTAAAATCCATAATGCTGAATAACTAGGATATAAACGTCTGCAAGTCACTCCCACCAAATACCTCGCTGTGTGTGTCCGGTTGGTGGTCCTGAACTCTGAGCAGGTAGCAACGGGGCCCAGGTTGTGGTAATGAGGCCTGGGGAGGAGAGGAATAGTCGGCTAGACGAGACCTTGACGCTGCTCGGGGCGACAGTACGAGTGGTTCCTCGGCAGCCCTTCACATAGTGGGGGAGGGGGGGTGGGTGACAGCTGTATCATGTCAGAATAATTAAAACAGGTTGATTAAATTTTACCAACTAATGGCTTAACAGTGAAAGTAACTCGCCTAATTGGTTGACTTTTTCCTGAAACGTATATTTTTATTTTTTTGTTTTCAGTGAAAGTAAAATACTTTTCGTACTTTTTTTACGTACTTGTTTTCTTTGGTTCCACAGCGAAAGTAATTATTTGTGAATTCCTTTCCGCCAAAATAAGTTGTTTTATTTTACGACAGGTTGATATAACGCAACAGTGACTTTCTGCGTCAGCTTGACCGTGACATTTTCGATGTTCTGGTCACTTGTGTAAAAGTCATAAAAGGTCACAGACCACTCATATGCATTGCCATTTCTGAGCTGTTACACTGAGATACAGTCACAAATTTCATTACAAGTGAATTTAAAACATGACATTAATAACACACACACTCTCTTCTCTGAAAATTAAAAAGAATATGATAGCTTGGTACTACATTATTATAGGTCAACTGGAGATCGTTAGTGAAGGTAGAGACAATGCTCGATTGTTACACCCCTTCCTCTTCGTACCCTTATCGCTTGGCTCGGGAGAAAACTTCACTTTGATTGGTCAACCTGTGATTCATATTTTTTCCCTGTAAGTGAATAATGTTACATGGTAAAGAGAAAGTACTGGGAAGTAAATGGAGAACATGGTGATATGGTTAGGCCATGTGAAGAGACTGGACATGGTAAGGTGGAACGAGATTAGTGGCTGAGACCAGGGAAAGACAAGGTAGGGATGGAAACAGGAGTTGGCGTCAGTCTGCATATATGTCCAAAAATATCTGAAATACACAAGGAAAATATATTTGTGGTAATATCAACCAACCTTAACTATGAATAGGACTGGAGATGATTAAAATGAAGAGGAGTAACTGAGATGACCTGGCTGGGAAAACTGTTCTATGAGGGAGTGAATATTTTGGAGTTGTGTAGTACTGTTAAAGAAGGGCAGGGAGGAAGCTGAACACTAGCACACTGCTGAGTAACAAATACTCGAGATATTGGCCGGGGAGGAGGGGGTAAGGTTAAAGTTATGTGAATCTCTGTTCCGAAACTGATCGCCTGTAGTCCACAAATCATTTCTAGCTAGAATCTTAACACAGCTTTTTAATTTCCAATAATTTGTCGCGATTGAACGACATTTTTTGGTTTGGATTAACAAAAATACTACCCAACTTAATGGAGTAAAAGAGAAACGCAGGAAAGCTTTGTAGCGGATAAACATACTCATTGTTGATTAGCCACGGGTCGACCAGCAGAGGGAACCCATATCACTGATGTTCTGGCTGTCAATACCCTCAAGAAACACTCGCGTCCTTCCAGTACAAATGTATGTGTTATGTTTTCTATTAACTCCACAGTATAGCTCAAGTATTGAAGCCTGAGCACTAATACAGTTAATCTAGATAAAGTCAAATTCAGTATTGAAGCTGTTTATGTATGGTCGTGTGTGCTGTATAGAAACAATGCTTTGTTTCATGGTTCGCTTCATCCATCCCGTGGTTATCTTCCAGGTGTGTGTGTGAGAGAGGGGGGGGGGGTTAAAATGAATATTGTGTGTTTGTCAGTCACCCTCCAGGGCCACGTTCTTTTCGTCCTTTAGAGCGGCAATAGTATCCTTGGTTGTCATTTTACTCCTGGCATAAGCATAAAAGGACTTGGGATTTTTCTCAATATTTTGGACAAGTTTCATCCCAGTGCTATTTAGCTGATCTAATTTACTGATTGATCATTTGGACAAGTTTCATCCCAGTGCTATTTAGCTGATCTAATTTACTGATTGATCACATTTGAGGCTCTCGTGAATACAGTACTACATACTGTACTTGCATGATGTCCTGTGCTCTGATATTTCCTTAGAGGGTGACTCTGCATTTTGGTCTAGGACTTCTTGTGTGTATTGTTTCACAGTTTGCTTTGTAGGAAACCTGGTCATTTTGATCTGTGTAATACAGCAGTCCAAGGCCTTATATTGTTTACTGGATGATACATTTTTGGTTACTTGTATAATACAAAATTAAGTATAGACATGATGCTTTTTGGTAGAGTAAGGCTGACTTACTGCCATGCTTTATTATATACTAGCAGAGGTACCCGGCTTCGCCCGGGTCAATAATGAAACAAAATATCAGCCGTGGAGCCATAACCAAAAATGTGGTGGGGGTGAGGGGTCCCTTCTGGAGTGATAGGGGAGTATTGGAGAGTGCTCGACCATCCTCTAGGGCAGGCTACCCACACCTCCCTACCAAATTTCAGTTTTCTATCTTCAAAATTATGGAAGTACATAAGGAACATAATCACGGACTCACACAATACAGGATGGCACATTACAAATTTGTCTTTGTTTCAGGATGCCGTGATGCTTGAGGATGTTGGGTGAGGATGGAGTCCATTCGGGCCTACTACGAGTACCCCCCGTCCCATGCCAACATGCCGGCCAGGGTACATAAAGCACCTTTCCTGGTTTGCCAACTTTAGTAAAATAGTTGTTAACACTGATGTAATTATGTTTGATATGCTGGAATTTTTCCTTTATATGTTTTATATTTTTCAACTAAATTTTACATAGTATTTAATAAGTATATTATGAAATTGAATATTGTATACAGTATAATAGTTATAATAAAATTAGCCTTATATTTAAAATGCTCAATTGAAAAGTTTAAATTCATAAGCTTTTTTTTTAAGTGATGTATTCAGTCTTTGTTAATTGTATCAATTAGCTTGGCATATCAGGTTATTTTGTGGTTGGTGTTTCAGGACTACGGGGGCAGTGTGAACCCGGCCAAGGCAAGACGTTCCTGGGGTGACTTGCTCAAGTTTCGATCCCGTGGCAAGGAGCGTCATCTGTCCCCTGTTAGTGCAACCCTCACCCCACCAGCCATGCCTGTCCAACCCACCCACAACTACATGGCTGAATACAGGCAGAAGTACGGTGCCTACAATGGAACGGTGGGTCGCACGTCCTACCAGGCTATGACGGTGGTGAAAAGCATCTCCCCTCCACCAGTGCCTCCATCATCCAATGCCCCTAAAGGTTACCCCAACCATGGTTACCGTACCAACGGTTACATCAGGCATGCTGCCTCTTCTGGCACCGTGTCTGCTTCTACTGGGGCCACCATGTCGTCCACTGTGCGCTACACAGATTGGTTTGGCTCTGTGGTTGGTCGACGGCCTCCTGTCAGGCCCCCATTACCTACCTTCAATGCAGTGCCTCCAGCAGGTCTGCATAACACAGAGAAAGGCGCTGCGTGGGACCACTATGTGACGTTAGACCCTGTGTATGAAGCTCCACGAGTTGTGCCCGTCCAGTTGTACACTAATGTATGTGTTTGTCCTGATCAGATGCTTAATACTAAAGGACGCAAGAAGAAAAAATGTAAGAGATGTGGGAGGAAGGTAGCAACAATGCGACATGCTACTGCAGGTGTGGCCTCCAAGGTGCGACCAGCCATCCCTGCCAGCATGTATCAGCCGCCACCACAACCCCCACCGGCGGCTGCTCAGCATGCCTGGGGGTGGCAGGTGTTGGAGGAGAGAGTCTACGAGCGATATGAAGTTCGAGCTCCTCGTCCCAACCACGTATCTGTTCGTCCACTTAGTGATGAAGAGGAGTCGCCACCCCCAACGCCAGAGACAGTTCGTAGTGTTCGCAGCATGAAAAGTGTAAAAAGTAGTGACAGTTCTGCTACTATCACTCGCGATACACCAGAACCTGCACGGCCTGCCCCGCCTCCACCTACCATCCCTCGTGTCCTCCCAGCTACCCCAGAAGGTCCACCGGCCGTCACACCTACTAGTAGTGCCAAAGAAAATGCTTCAGCAAGTGAAACAGGTGATAAACGTAACTCCATATTATTAGAGAACCCTTCAGCGTATCAGTTAATCTCTCGCTACCGCCAGCCAGTTAAACACATAAGTTCGGACACCGATGAACTCAGTGACAATGCCGTGGACACCTCTTATGATGGTTGGGATGCCGAGTCATCTCTAACTGTCACAGACGACGTCCAGGAAGGGCAGGTGAATGTGATAACAATTGGTAGTAACCAGCCTCAGTCTGTAGCTGTGACACACTCCTCTAAGGTAGAAAATTGCAGGGACATGGGCAATAGAGTTAGAATACATACGAATTCTAGTGAAAGTACATTCAGTTTGAGTGATCAGTCTTCCTATCATAAGAATTTAGTTTCTGGTTACAATAATGATTCTGTGTCAAGGAACAATTACAATTCATCCAGTGATGAAAATTCACCAAGCATCTCATCCAGCAGTAGGAGTGCATCATCAAATACCAAGAGTTACAGCAAGAACAGTATATCTGATCATAAAAGTTCTTCAGTTAATAACAAGAATGGAAAACATCTCTACTCAAGTGATAAAGGTATTTCCTCTAGTAGTAAGAACAATCTCCCCAAGCATAGAAAAAATTTGAACAACAAAAATTCACAATCCAGCAGTAAGAATACATTAGTGAATGAGAACATATACTCTAGTGGCAAAAATAACTTGGCCAATAAGAAGATTGCAACATCTGCATCCAATGTAAAAAAGTCGATGTTAAATGGCCACAGCAGCCCCAAGTTGAATGGCAACGGCAATGGACCCAAATTAGAGGTGAAGAAATTGCGCGAGGCAAGCGAATTGAAGCACGGTGGTAGCACTGTCCGCATTGCTGGCCAACGCATGCTGGTCATCACTCCAGGCATGCCTCATCCAGAATCTAATTCTGGATTTTCAAGTGGTGAAGATGAGAATGAAGTGAGTATTGAGGATGATACCAGTGATTATCCCATGTCCTCACCAACTACTACTCGAGGTTCAGATACTGATACATTGCTAGAGGAAGATGATTTGCCTGTTGATTCCTCAGGTCCAACATATGATCCTCCCACTGAACATCTTGAGCTTCAGAGTTCTAACTTTGAGTTTTCAGATTCACTCCTTGATTCTTCAAATATGCAGTGTGAGCGTTGGGAGCCTGTCAGGGATACCATTTTTGAGGAGGAAGAAAATGAGGATGAATGGAAAATAGAAAATCATCGCAAGCATGAGATGCAGGAAGATGACGAAGAGTCCGCCTTACTTGGAGATGAAGATGAAAAAGATGATCCAAGTGTGAGTTCCTCATCAACCAGCTCACCAATCCGTCATGAGGGCCTACATCCTACTCTCTCTGAGCTCCTGAAAGTTAAGTCTATTTTGAAAAAGCCACCTTCAGTTGACACCAGCTCTGAGACTGACTCTGACTTTTATTTGCCAACGTTCTCTGAGTTCAAGCAAAACCAAAGGAAAAAGAAGCAAGTGCAATTTAGACCATCCCACGAAGTGACAGTGATTGAAGATGCAGGAGAGTCCAAAGGCCGCAAGGTATCTTCAGCAAGAAGTCCGAGGAGAGAGCGGGAGAAGGCAAAGGAAAAGCAGAAGAATGACTATAATTTGCTAGCCGATTTACGTGATGTGTATTCAAGAAAAGGTGATTCCGAGATGCAAATGAATCATATAAAGGCTGATTTTAATGATGTAAAATTAAACCACGAACAAACTTTCAATGGCGAGTGTGACGGCGAATATAACAAAGTGACACTCTCTCTTGATGGTGACCAACCTACCCATGAAGAGTTTAGAGAAGATAAGGAAAATGGTCAGACTGAGGAGGAAGGGTTATTCTATGATGGTGACAGAGGAGCTGACATTAAGATGGGTGAGGACCAGGAGCAGAGGGACCACACTGGGAGAGGTAAGTAGCTCCTCACTAGAGATGTAGCGAAACCAAGATTTTGGCCGATAACGATACTCTGATCCTCATAAATGACTGATACTGTACTACCAAAATGCACAATCACAATAATATTAATAAATACGCAATGCCAGTATGCTATTTCGTATGATACACAAACTCTATAACAATAAAGCATTTAACTTGATGTAATATAAGTGTATAACAAATGTGTATAGTAATTTAATTGATTTAAATATACGTAAAGTACGTTTAACATTATCAGTTTCAAAAGTGTGCAAAAATAACCTTAGATGTTTGAAATATATTCCAACTTTCCCCTATTATTATTTATTTAATTTAGAAGTGTGTAGCTGTTTGCTTAAGAAATGCCTTTATTGGACATTTCTTTGATGTATGTACTGTAGTACAGTACAGTACAGTACATACTTGCCACAGAGAATGCAGATGCTATCGCTTTTTAATGTTTTTTTTTTACTTCCTTTGACCAATTTTGAATTCGTTGTTATTTGCGGCCTTTTCATCAACCAAGTACAGTATTAATGTTAGTAATACTGTACAGTATTACCATTATAGGCTTTGTTGTGATGTGGTTTGTTTAAGGTACAGTACCTCCATGTTTTACTTTTTACTTTTATCTTCTTCACCACTGATCAGCTCATTAGCCCCTTTGATGCATTATAAAAATGAACAGTTAATACACAGTAGAAATTGAATTGTATACTAGTGTGGGGTTTAGTGCAAGAAAGTGAAGATATTTCCAATAAGTTTTATTTAAACCTACAGTTTTTTCCCTGATGAATCATGGCATATGCAATAAATATGCAATCATTTATCATACAGTTTTATTAAAAAAATTTAAAAAGTGTAGTAGAGTACTACAGTATTCATGGTTCCTTTACTGGTATCAGTATCATGTGATGGCATTAATACATAGTGTGTTCATATATATTCAGTATTTAAAAAGATCATCTTCTCATTGTGGTGTATTCCTTGTTGCAGCTGGTGAACATGAGGACTCCAGTCTCCATCTTAGTCTGAGTGATTATCAGACCTCAGGTGTGAGCACAGGAAGCTCCCAAAATAACCAACACCTGCGTCTTAATACAAATATAACGCAACCCGCTACAGGCTTTAGCACCTTTACCTCTTCTACCAACATACCTACCCGACAAGCCCCACCCCCACCCAGAGGTCGTACTCTCAGTCCCACAAGGCCAAATGTACCACCACCACCCCCTCCTACCACAAGACCGTTGTCATTATGTACAGCCCCACCTAAAATTTCACAACCTCAGCGACCATTACCATCTCCTCCCGCATTACTGCTCAATCCACCCACAGAGTCATCTCCTCCATCACCACCTCCTCCTCCTTTACCAACATCACCCCCACCTGCCTTGGATGACACACATCAGATGTCTGTTGTAAATCACACTACTCAAGATTTACCCTCACCCCAGAGTCCAACCTTCAGCAGCTTTAAGGCCCACTCAATTTCTCTTAACCCAGCAATGAAGATCAGTCCCTCTCTGACTCTTCCTGCAACCTCCTCAGAGATATCGTGCTCAACAGAATGCCTTCGGGAAGTGTTACCGCCATTAGGACATGTTTCTGTGTTTGGTGCCGACGAGGAGACTCGCACGGCAACAATACGTGGGCGAGGTGCAGCCCATGCCCGACCATCCATCATAAATACTTTTACAACTGGAGCATCTGCTAGCACTTCATCAGCTTCTAGTCCTCCTGTAGCTCCTAGGAGACGGAATAGAAATCGTTCTTTGAGTCCTGAAGCAAATGAAAGTGCAGCAGGGAATGGTACACGAGTAATAGGTGGACGACGTCGAACCTCATTTCTGAACAGTCTGGCTGGAGAAGAGCACCCTTACGAACAGATCACCGATCACATTTATGAGGAGTTACTCTCTAATTCACCATCCCATGCATCCAATTTTGCTGGCCACCACAGTCCTACACACAACAGTTCACCTCACAAGTCACCTTCTCCAGGGAAGTCCATGTTTGAAGGTGCATCTAAATATGAAATATTAGAATATCTCCAGGATGCCCGACGAAGAGTAGCAATCACCGTAGATGACGAGGATGAGGATGTCACTTTACAGGTAAGGTTGAACACTTTTTCCTGCATGTGTTTGAGCTTACTTGCTTTCTTGTTGTTAGTCATATGTAGGAATTGTCTTCTTTTATATTTTAATGTCTCTTAGAGCATATCTGTGAAAAGAAGCATTAATGCTCTACCTATGAATGATTACAAAATGCATTTTGCTGTTTTTTTTAAATTAGTTGCTTTATAACATGTACTATATTGAATGATTTTTCTTTTGATGTAGTGACTGTTATATTGCTTGTGCTTTTGTATTTTTGTATTTTATATTTTTATGGACTCTAGTTAATGATATTACAGTACAGTATCAGGGATTCTCAGTTCGTATGATAGTTCAGCCCGTAATATTTTTTGAAGATGGGAAATTGCAACAGTATCTAACTTCTTTTTTGTTCAATATGTCAAAAAATTATTGAATTAACATGATAACAAAAATAAGTGTAATATTGAGAGACAACTTGAAGTATTGCATGTAGTACTAAAATCTTAATACAAATCCTGGAACATATTTGGATGACTTATCTATTTTGCATACAGTATCTCTTCATAACTTAATGATATGTTAGCGTTTAATGTGCATGTTCTCTTTTGAAGGACATAATTGTTGTTTAGATACTCTCTTTATACTGTACTGTGCAGTATATACAAGTACAGTATAGTATCTAAAAATACAAGTCAAAATGAGATTGTTAAACTGTAATTATTAAACTTTGAACAACTTTAGAAAAACCCTCTTTTGTGTCTTTATTCAAGCAGAAAATACATTGTACACCATGATTAGACATTTTTATTTGGAATGACATTTATTTACTACAGTGTATAAAAGAACAAGGGTAAATAAAGTGATTTATATTATGATATTCATGAGGATGCATTACAGTACAGACTGTGCTGTACTGTACCGTACTCACCATTTAGGTGGAAAATTGACTTAGACACATACTGCATATGATATTAGAAATTTTACAAAATGGAATGAAAATAAATGTTGCACATTAAGTATGTAACAATATACAGGGCATAATTTTCAATAAAATTGGCAGTTAAAAATATTGTGACTATTCTAATACTTTAACTGGAGTCTCCATGTTTTGCTTTGAGTTAAGTTGTTAAGTATTATTAGTAGTAGAGTGGCTGACTGTTCTTAGGGTTTGGAGGATGTTCCTCTGGAGGCTGAGGTGGACCTCGAGGATGAGGAGGAGGAGGACCAGTTAGGGGTTGACCCATCTGAGGACCACTTCACCGTCCTTACCTCAAGGAACAGAGGAAACAGATCCTCCAACATGAGCTCAAATTCTGACTCATCAGAAAACAGTGGACTTCTGAGGTCAGATAAGGTAAAGGTGGGGGGTATTTATGTTAGTTTTGGTCTTTACTAATTATGGTGAAATTGTGGTCTTAAACTTCAGACGATGGAAATCAAGTATTATATTATTGTGGCAGAAATCATGTTATCACAAGGTAAGGATTAAAGGTGTTATAACTGTATTTATGGCTAATATAGTGACCTTTTTATATGGAAAAGAAGACCCAAATTGGGTGTGAGGTTGTTCAAAGAAATACCTGTAAAAAAATCACTCTGAATAAATTAGAAATCACATAACTACAAGGTTGCTAAATTAAATAACAACTAGTTATTTCTTGTTTCCTTCACAACAGGTTTGTTTTGCTTATTATTACCACTATATTCTCTTTTGTGTGTTATGCATGTTTGATGTTGCTTAATTTTTACAGGATCCTGCATTTACTTAGTTAGTTTTATGATTAATGATATTCGTTGAAACTGATAAATGTTTTGGATAGACATTTTTAGTAGCCGCTTTTTGTTACGGTGATAAAAATCATAAATTCTAAAAAAAATAGTCCTCTGCATATTTTTTTTAAATCTCATGCTTTCCCACTAACATCTCACAAATTTGTTTAATATGCCTTTATTTTTAATTTTTTGTTGTGTCAGAAAATACCCTCCTTTTGTCTAGTACATTACTCTAAAATCGCTTTATATCAGACAATTCACAAAACTTTACATGAACAGGAGCGGTTGACAACAGGAGAGGTTGAGAGGACTGATTCTGGTGTGGGATCAGAGACCAGCAAACCCTCAGTGGCAGTTCGTCGTGGCCAGCGAGGTGTAGGAGGAGCCATGGTGGCCAAGGATGGTGATGTACCTCTCTGTGATGATTGTGATGCTCCTGTTGACACCCATGTCACCAACAGGTATGTAGATGGAGGGTTCTTATACCTGTACACCAGGCATGGGCAGCCCGCAGCCTGGACCACGTGTTTGTGCGACCCGTGGAGTGATTGAGAAATTCTATTTAATGTGGCCCTCGGTTCAGGTAGATGCAGCTAGTTTACGGTGAGTACAGTAATATTTATTAAAAGAATAATCTTAACAAACAATTCGTTACTGTTTCATCACTTAAGAGTAAGTAAATACAAAAATGTAACAGTGAAATAAGTATATACAGTACAGTGCAGTACTGTATAGTCAACAATATAAACATTTTAACTTGTGCGAGTTTACGGGCCAAGTTCGGGCGGTGGTCACACAGAGTTTAACTAATTAAGTACTTCCAGAATTGCACAAAAACACCAAAATTGCACCTCGAAAACCCATAGTTGGCGAGTAATTTTGATGGAAATAATGTAATTAAAATTTTCCAAGTGTCATTATGACCACTAATTACCCAGCAATTGAATTGTAATTTTTGGCCAAAACTGCCAAAATATTAAGTAATTTTTTGACCGAAATTCACTTTTCTCTTGGAATTGGAATTTAAAGGGTTTAACTAATTAAACACAGTACTTCCAGAATAACACAATTCCACCAAAAGTGCATCTCAGAAACCCATTAGTAAGATAAATGCTGTAACTGTACAAAAAATCAACATATTCACAGAATGCTTCACACATCTTCTGTTAAATGCCAAGAAACTTTGATAATTTCTTATAAAATTATTATGATGGATTTGTTTCATAAATGGGAAAAAGGCTGTCTGTAAACCGAAAATATCGTAAGGTGGACGTGACGATAAACTGGTTCACTGCCCTTGTTAATACAATGCTATATTAACATTACTTTTGTGTTAGATAGGATATAAATTATGGTGAGTAGGCCCGCAGAAAAAACTTAAATCGTAATGTGGCCCATGACTGAAGAAAGGTTGCCCATGCCTGCTGTACTGTATTGATAACTTACATGTGATAAAATGAATTTCATTTGTATAGTACAATGGTGTAATGATAGTACTGGAGTGCAATGGCTGAGTGAATACAGCAGTTACTAGTTACTTCCTCTCCAAAGGGTCACTCCTGGTCTACCCAACTGTGGGTAAATAATTAAATTAAAGATAAATATATATATACTGTACAGTATATATATATATATATATATATATATATATATATATATATATATATATATATATATATATATATATATATATATATATATATATATATATATATATATATATATATATATATATATATATATATATATATATATATATATATATATATATATATATATATATATATATATATATATATATATATATATATACATACAGTATATATATATATATATCCAGCACCTTCAGAAGCTGTGTCAAACATGAGTACCTAGGTTGTTCCATTCATGATGGTCCATCATGGCATTGCATATAATACTACCCGGTATCTATAGTACTGTACTGTACTTTACTCACTATGCTGGTCAGATTGACCTGCCTGTTATTAGTTGTGCAATGTTGATCACCATTTTTAAATATAGGCCTCCTATATGCTAATTTTCAGTCTTTGGGATCTTTTGTTACTTCTTAATTTTTATTTTTATCCTCTTCTCCACTGACCGGCTCGTTAGCCGCTTGGGCGGATGGTCACGTCTGTTACGCACTGTTGGCAAATATTGGGCACGCTCATCCATACTTCAGGAAAACTAGATTTTTAGGAGTTCTGAGAGCTTGTTGCACAACTCTCTTAAAACTCTAGGATGTACACTGCTCTGCTTTGTGCTAACATTTTTTACAGAGCTTTGTATGTGTGTATTTTGGAATTACATATTGGAGTGCAAACTGTAAGTTTATGAATACTGTATGTGCATGTGCAATGTTATGAGTGAATGTCTGTACTGTACTGTATACATTAGTACTGTATATAGTTGTACGTACTGTATAGGCATATTGTTTCAAATTATATTTATATCTGTTGCTTCTGTGTTCATAAACAATCATTTCTTTATTTGCATCAGAAAGATGGTAACTGTGTATGGTATTTATTACAGCGGAGTGGTCTACGCACCCTTGGTATGTCGTCGTTGTTCTCGCCGTCGTCAAGAAAGAAAGGAAATTTTGACAGAGATTATGGAGACAGAGATAAAATATGGACGAGACTTGCGTGTTATGGTGGATGAATTTTACAGGTACACAATTCGCTCTGTTTACAAAATCATGCAAGAATGATTGTTTAAAATCATTTATATCTTGGTACAGTATATGAAAGTGACAAAAATACAGGTTTTCCAATAAAGAAAGAAGCTTGAGATTGGTCTGTTTTTTGTTGCTTTTTGAAATCCAAAAAATATTGAACAAGTTTTGAGATACAGAAGAAAAATTTGCTTGTTAATGGAAAATCTTTTGGAATTTCCAAGATCAATTACCATGAATGAAATTAATTTTTCCAAGGTACAATAAATCTTAAAAATTTAGATTACGGTACTCTCTTTTGTGTGATCCAAAGATATCACATTTTTATCATCGTCGTTTAAGGTATTTAAGGTATTAATGTTCGCTCCAGACCCATCTTGGTAGCTGGATTGTTGACCCGTGATCAGCTGAAGGGAATATTCCTAAATGTGGAGGAGCTGGTGGAGCACAACCGGATGTTCTCCTTACAGCTGCGTGATGCCTTGGAGATTGCTCTGGATCAGGGCGATGAGGATCTCCTAACTGTCAATGTGGCAAAACTCTTCCTTCATGCTGCTCCAATGCTTCATGCCTTTGAAAATTATTGTGTGAGACAGGTTTGTGGCCTTATTTTATGTTGTATTTTATTTCTGGCTTTTCTTAGATGTGTGGAAGAGCCTCTAATTCAAGTAAGTAGGCCGAGTAAAATTTACTTACTTTATCCATTTTGCCACCGATAGGTCTGTAAATCACTCGGGCCACGGTGATTGGTCACATTTCTGTATGTTACACACTGTTGGCTCAACTGTACTGGGCATGTACTGACTCCAGAATGTATCTGAACCTGTGCCAGTGTTGGTCAAGTTTGGCCTTGAATAAGCTCACACTTGGATGAGAGTTCACAATTGTCATTCAAAAAAGTTTGGCTTAATAGTTTTCTGAACTTGTGGCTTCTTTTCCCTGAGGCTGTGACCTCTAGTGGTCAGGCATCCGCTAGTTCCAAGTATAAACACTCGACCGAGTACATATTGTACAATTGGACAGATCTCATAGAGACATTAAAAATAAGGTAAATAAGGTGAGTACAGTATGCTGACCTTTAAGTTATAACTGTAGATCTAGATGTCTTGTATGAAAACAGGGTTTGAATGTTGTAAAATCACTAACCTAGTTATTTTAGTTGTGATTAGTTTTATATAAACTAAAGCATACCTGGGAAGAGGCCTCTGTCCAACAAAAACTTAAGTATCTTAGCATTCAGACACCTCACTCTCCAAGAGAGGCTGGAACATTTACAGTTGCCCAATTTATACTACAGAAGGGCATGGGGTGAATCAATAGAAGTTTATAAGTACGTCAAAGAGTATTACTCAGTCAAATAAACATATCTGGAGTTTGTGGATGTCTGTTTCAGTACGAGTTAAAGAAGCGTACATAGTATTTATTAGATACCCTCTTCAATGCAGTATTCTGAGCATAAAATATATTTTCTTTTGTTCTTTATCATTTATACAGGGCTCAGCCTCACTATTGCTTCAGACATTAGAGAAGGAGAAGGAGCTGCTAAGAATATTCCTAAAGGTGTCGCAGATGGAAAACACATTACTGCGTCGTATGAATCTTCATTCTTTCCTTATGGTAAGAATTTTTATTATTCAAAAAGGTTGATCTAATGACACAATGCAGTATTGCTGTATTAATAGAGTAAAAAATAAGTATGACCTTGAATAAGAAAGAAGCCCCGGAGGTACCCGGGTACTGTACTGGGTAGTTTCCGTCTCTTACAGCGTTTGAGCAATAAATAAATATGGTATATGACTGCTAAAAGCTTTGCATTTTTCAGGTTCCAGTTCAGCGTGTAACTAAATATCCTCTGTTGTTGGCAAGACTATACAAGGCCACACCCCCAACTCATCCTTCTCGAGAGGATTGCCGACGTGCCAAAGAGAAAATTGAATTGCATTTACAACACATGAATAATGTGAGTAGACTTATGAAGCTGACGTTTGAATGTAATCAGTGAGTTATGTTCAGGGCAACTAGGGTAGTCTTAGTCCTATGGGACTTTTATCTCAAGTCCTTACGAACGCCTGCCAATACGAATGGGGTTAAACTTGAAATTTACAGTATTTTATTTACCCGACAACTTATTTTTTTACTTTCATTTACCGTATTTTGTCATTCTATTTCTTCTTTTGTCTTCAATTAAGTGACTAAAGCTATGATATAGTGGGCTTTTAAATTTTTTTCTGTAAGTACGGTAATGCACATACCGTAGCACGCGTTCCGACTTACGTACAAATCCGACTTAAGAACGTCTTCGGGAACGGAACCCGTTCGTAACTTGGGGACCCCCTTTACGTATATACTACATACTGTACTGTATGTGTGTGTGTAGTACTGTACAGTAATAGGAACCCCAATAATAAATTTGACATTAAACAGGTACAGTAATCAGTTTTTAGTGATACAAACTTGATTTGCTGGTTCCTGTTTACAGGAAACAAAGGAGATGAGCCCAACAAAACTATGGCGCCGTATCTCCATGAGTGTGGGTAGTGGGGCTCCTCTCAAGCGGTCACCACAACCACATGACTTTTCCACCAATCTCAAGCTCAGGAAGGTATAGTACAAGAATAGCCCTTATTGATTTTGACAGCCTTATGACTTAATTAAATGTGTCCAAAGTAATACCTGTATTACCAAGTGATAATATATATGTTATTGAGATAGACATAATATGTTTATGGAGATGCTTATATTCATTTCCTTGCATCAGATATTATTTTATAGAAGTAAATGCGCTCAGTATACAGCATGTGGTGAAAATTAATTTCATTAACTTTTCAGCTCTTCCATTAGTAAGGTTCTTGATTATTAACTTGAAATATGTACAGCATGTACATTTTTTTTTTTTGTGTGTCTAACCCAAAGTAGGGGGATGCACCCCATCAAGTATCTTTTCAAAACATTTTATTTTCTGATCATATCAGCATCTTCAAGTTGTCTTCTTAATTTCATACTGTACTTTAGTTCCAAAATTGTGGATACATATTTTTAATAATGATTTCATAAATAGAAGGAGCAATAATCTCTTTGAACATGCAGTATTGTGTACAGAAATTATACAGTACTGTAATATTTACAGTATTACTTTTCTAGTAGAATAGTGGTACAGTATAACCTGTATAGCATCACTAGAGATTAAATTCATATGGATTAATGCATTTATGAATGACTTGTATTACATATGAGTACTGATTTTCCAACAGCTGGCACTGGAAGTATTGGAGTGGAGTGTAGAAGAGGCTAGAGTGGTCAGAGAAGGTCGTCTCTTTTGCCTGGCACCAGACTCAAACAATTGGACACGAAGAGGACGCACCCTTAAAATGGCATCGGTTCACGTTTTGCTCGTCACGCAAGGCACAGTAAGTGGGGGGAAAAAGGAAACATTTCAATAAAATTTGACATGTTACATCTTTAAAGTTGAAATAGTATACAGTACTATCCAGTAATTGTAGTTTTGCAAGCGATTTCAGCGATACGCTACTGTATTCACCGAAGATGAATCGTGCACATCTTATCCCAGTTTCCAATTTGGATTGATATACTGTACAGTCCTCCCATACACCCACTAAGAGGATAAAAGGTCTTTAGTAAATAATACAGTACTGTACTATATGAAAATTCATCTTAAGCAGTCTCTTTATATGGATAAAGTTTTGCTTTATGGTCTTACTTCATTTAAATGTGATAATTTTTTTTTTCAGCCAACAGCTGTGTTTGAGGAAAAGGTTCCAGAGGATGGTTTGGTGACTCCACACAATTTGGGTATTAGAGATGCAGCAATGCTTGCCTTTAAAGATCACAAAGTGTCAAAAGCTGCTCTGATCAGAGTAAGTAAAATGAACATGACTGCTTTTGTATAAAAAATAAATAATATGATCACTATAAAGTACTGTAGTATATTAGTATAGTTGGACATTACTACAGGTCAAACTCCAACATTAACCATAATAAAAATAAATGATGATTTCCTTTTGTGTCTTTATAAACAAAATTGGATAAAATCATATTCATTGTACAGCATTAGGCAATGAGCAGTCACCTGTAGTGTGATTAAGTATATAAAATGAAGTTTATACTGCAGAGTGCAGTACAGTACAGCACTATAGAATATCAAAGACAGTATTATCTATGGCATATACTGTATAATACTTTTGAGCACTTTACTTGTTTCTGCAGCATGACCCATGGCTACTGAGTCGGTGTGTGGTAGCATGGGAATCAGAAGGAGAAACCGAATGCTTCGAGGTGACAGATCTCAATTCCAAGGATACATTTATCTTCAAGGTAGGTCTTATTTGGGAAATTTGGGGATTCTTGAGAAGTTATATATAAATATATAAATATATATATATATATATATATATATATATATATATATATATATATATATATATATATATATATATATATATATATATATATATATATATATATATATATATATATATATATATATGTGGAATAATTTTTTCTAATAATAATTTTTTACTAACAGGGAAGTGACAACACAAGCACAGAGGCATGGTTCCGTTATATTCAATTCCATGCACTCTCAGTTGGGATGTGGAAAAGACGAAGACCTGCTCTTGCTAATATTATGATTAATGGTATGAGTAGAAGCTAGTTTAAGATTATTCTTCGTTGAACATGTAAGTGACAAAAATCAGAGAAATAGATAATTATAAGAAAAATCACAGAGATGTGGAGTATGTGATTCAAATGGTGAGCCATTGAAACAGCTAATTATCAGTAAAGTACAGAATCAGATTGGATTGTAGGAAAATTCCTATCACTGTATAGGGTTAGAAGAAGGAAATTGCTTGAAAAATTGATTAATACCTGAAGTCTCAAAAATCAATTATTTCAATAAGAAGGTTATTAAAAGTCTCACAGAACTGTTATAACATACGAGTGAAAGTAGAAGGAAGGAACCCGTAAAGTTTAATGCCACATGAAATGTAATTTACGTCGGTGGACAAAAAATTTTGACGTGTAGTGAAGCCGAAAAAGGTGTGGTATTACAAAGTACTGTACGTATTGTGAACATTTAGAAAAGAGAAAAATTCTAACTGTTCATATAGAAGAAAAATGTATGTGCCTTACATGTCTTATATATTATAAGGTTTGACAGTTTGTCAAGTGATAAATATTTTATTTTTTTTTTTAATATTTGTCAAGTCACACTAAACCAAATAAATTAGCATTTGACATTCCTATTAGTATAGTGTTATACTGATTAATATCACTGTGATGTGACAAGTCACCAATATTGTACAGCGTTGTGTGGAACAGATGCATTGTTGTGCCACTGGCGTTACCGGTGCTGATGTGCCAAATCAACCTTTCAGCTAATCTAAGCAGACAATTTAATGTGGGCAGCATCTTTTTGCTATGCCAGTGTTGTTTTCTCTATACTGTAAACCCTCGATAACTCGGCACGTACGGGGCTCCGACCTTGCCGAGTTGTCCTAAATTTTGACTTATCGAGGCACTTCTCCCTCCTACAAAAATACCATGGAAAATTATCGACCCACATATGTGTACATATAATTACTAAATTTAAAAGAGTAACACCTACCAGCACTGCAGGCAAAGAATGAAGCATCATTGTAGGATACACAGATGCAAGATAGGTGACACAGAGGTATGGTACGTGACACAGAGGCATGGTAGGTGACACAGAGGTATGGTACGTGACACAGAGGCATGGTACGTGACACAGAGGCATGGTACGTGACACAGAGGCATGGTACGTGACACAGGAATGGTAGGTGACACAGGAATGGTAGGTGACACAGAGGCATGGTAGGGTACACAGGGGCATGGTAGGATACACAGAGGCATGGTAGGTGACAGAGGCATGGTAGGTGACACAGAGGCATGGTAGGTGACACAGAGGCATGTTAGGTGACAGAGGCAGGGTAGGTGACACAGAGGCAAGGTAGACAGGTAGCCAGATACGCCGAGATTTCCCAGATAATTTTATGTATCTCGGCATTTCCCAGGTCATGCCGTTACATTCCGTGACCACGTACGTGCAGAATCGTACGAAATTCCGAGTTATCGAGGGTTTTACTGCATATCTTTTATAAGATTTCAACTTTCTATATTTTGTATAAAAATATTATTATTTTTCTTTTGTATAATAAATTTAAAGATAGGATAATCTATTGTAAACTCATATTCATTTATAATTTTGTTTATACTATCAACATGTTTTCCTAGTTGTAATTTATTGTACTGTATTTCCTTTTCCACCTCCTTTATGTAATGTACTATGACATATAATGATGCTGACTGAAGAATTTTTTTTATGAATATATATTGTCTGATATGAATGCAAAACTGTAAAAGAACAGTTACAAAAATTTTCTTATTTTCATTTGGAATTCCATATTACTATTTTGCTTTTGTAGCATCTCTGGATGTCAGAATTACTATTCAAAGAAAATTGATTTCGGTTTGAGAAATTCTTTTATGTTCCTTCTCAGTTGTATGTGTATACAGGACAGTACTCACTTGCTTTAAACAAGGAATAGATTCCCAGAAAAGGGTGTTTAAAGCAATTTCTTTTCAAACGAACCTCTTTTTAACATGGTACAAAGATTCCAAACCCTGTCCCAAGACCCAATATTGAACCATATACACGTGTTTGAGGTAGCTGGGTAACTGCCTGGCTGAACTGTGTGGTGTCTCCCAGAGGATGGTTTGAGTGCAGAAGGAGTTATTTAAAATATATGCTATTGTATTTTATGATGTGCTATGTATAAATTTTATTGTTGATTGTGGCAATTTTTGTTCAGTTGTGGCACATGCACTTTGGAATATATTCTAATTTGGCTCACTAAATTGTTGAACTCTGAACTACACAGTTTATATAAAATTTTTGGCGTTAATAAATCGATCGTTTAAAGTGGGGGAGTACCGTACCTGCATATGTAGATCTCTGTAGTCCTTTATTTTTTGCATTTGTTAAACATTTTTGCCGACCTTGCTTTGGTACGCTATTAGTCGTCTCTCAAATTATTAACAAAATGGAGGACAGTAATATATTTATTTTTCCACTTTATACTGTACTTTAAAATAATTTCACCAATTTCTAGATATTAAATTGCCGACAAGATGGGAACAATATACGGTACTTCCAAAAATATATACTGTACCCAGTAAATCAAATTTGATGTAACATTTACTTTATATACCATCTCATTGTTTATTAATTATTTGCATATTCCATACACTCCTCAATATTAGTTTAATTACTGTACTGTACAGTACATCTTTACATCATATCTTCTATCATCTATTCCCTCCCACTCAGCATGCCTTTTCACTGATGCTATTCAGTTAAACTGAACAAAAGTTATCTAGTTCCTAAAAGTATTGTACTGCAGTGCTTAATCTTATATTCAATCTTTATTTTTTTTTTTATATGTTGTACAGGCATCTCCCATGTTAGGGAAGGGGTGCATTCTTACAGATCTTGTTTTGGCCAAAAACATAAAAAAAGGTGGATACAAATTAAATTAACCCTTTTTAAGCACATTTCAAACGGAAAATATAATATTTTGTGGTTTAATATGATAATAAATACACTAAAGACTTGCATTTAGCTAACCAGAAATTATGTTGATCACTGCATCACCTTGATGTGCAAATTAAGGCACATTTTTAACCTTTCAAACCAACCTTTACAAAGTTTGTTTTGCCTGCAAATCAAAACACAATCGGTCTTAATTCTCACGAGATTTTTGTACGCCATTTGTTTTTTCTTTTTTTAATTGCTATCTCGGTTCACCGATCTCTAAGATGAGTTGTTGGTAAGTTTCTCTTGCAGATTTGTATTTGCAATTCATACATAAAATGTTAAAATTGAATTTAACTGCTTGTGCAATTGCATAATTGTATAAAGATATTTAAATAGCGTATTTCACCTTAAATAGTTTTCAGAGTTGTTCTATCTTTCTCTATCCTCATCTGTGTAAACTTTTGTCCTCCTTTAACAAACCTTTTCTTGTATTTATTAAAATTCACCATAGGACAGTCTTTAGTATTCATTTGCATCCCTCTTAATTTTTATTTTTCTTGTAGTGTCACATTTCTCCATTTTCTCTTCATCTTGCTTGCTAATGTCTACCTACCAGTAATTTCGGCCCACCTTTGATATATATATATTGGGCTGTTGTACAATTTATGTACATAGGGATGTAAACATATGATACATGTAAATAGCTAGTGTCATATATTAATGTGATTAATAAATACTGGAGATTAATAATGCCTGTTTAAAATAAATTGTTCCTTTTTCCTTCAATAATATATAAGTATTACTAGTATTAATTTTTGTAGTTCAGTAGAAGGCAGCTACCAAACAGGGAGGTACTACAGCCTAGATATTGTAAGCATAATGTGTGTTGTCTAATGGTAGACCCTGCTGCCATACGGCATCACAAAAAGTGTGACCAAGTCCCAGGTTGTTGATCTGGCTGACTTTGTGGAATTACTGCCTCATTTGCAAACCTCTCATCCACACCCTCCATGCCCACTCCTCTCCTCCATACCCACACCTCTCATCCATGCCCTCCATACCTACACCTCTCATCCATGCCCTCCATACCTACACCTCTCATCCATGCCCTCCATACCCACACCTCTCATCCATGCCCTCCATACCTACACCTCTCATCCATGCCCTCCATACCTACACCTCTCATCCATGCCCTCCATACCTACACCTCATCCCCATGCCCTCCATACCTACACCTCTCCATCCCTCCATGCCCTCCATACCTACACCTCTCATCCATGCCCTCCATACCTACACCTCTCATCCATGCCCTCCATACCTACACCTCTCATCCATGCCCTCCATACCTACACCTCTCATCCATGCCCTCTATACCTACACCTCTCATCCATGCCCTCCATACCCACACCTCTCTCCACACCCACACCTCTCCTCCATACCCACACCCCTCCTCCACTCCCTCTATAGATAGATAGAGATTTTATTGATCACAAATTATGAATACTGTACAGAGTTTACACTAAAGTTTTACATAAAATGGTCCAAATGCAAATGCTTTAAACTACCAAACAATAAAAGTTCACCGATTCAACCAGTAACAAAAAACAGGAAAACCCATCCTCCTCTCCCTGGTAGGGCCCCTGTGAAGGCCCCTAGGAGGACTCCTAATGGGGTCCCTGGAAGGGCCAAAAAGCCTTTGGGATGACCCCTGGTAGGGCACTTGGGGGCGGTGGTCCTGGTAGGGCCCCAGGGGGCAACAGTCCTGTTAAGGACCCTGGGGCCGGCGCCCCTAGTAAGGCCCCTGGGAGAGCTCTTACGGACCTTAATAGGGCGCCTGTTAGGGTATCCAGGAGGGCTTGTTTTAGGGTCCCTGGGAGGGCTACTGGTAGGGTACCTGGGAGGGCCTCTGGTAGTCCCTGGAAGGGCCCTTGTTAGGGTCCATGGGAGGACTCGTTAGGGTCCCCTTGTGTATATCTACGTACTGAGGGTACCGAGGTATATAATGTAGGGAGATATATCTACTGTAGGTGCGAGGAATATTGGTATTATAATGGGTTAAACGATCATAGTTGCTTGTAGAATTCGCTTCGTGTTTAGTAATGTAATATGTGAATATAACAGTACAGTAATGGTGGCGGCGAGTATATTACTGTAGTGGTAGCATTGTAATGTACAGGGTGTCCATAAATGATTACCCTGATTAAAACATGGCACACTGTTTTTAGGGTAATCATTTATGGAGACCCTGTATACATAGTTGTAGTAGTAGCAGTAAGTAGTTACTGTGGTGCCAAGATTACTAGCAGTGTTGGAGGGTGTAGCAGTACAGCTATTAAGGTAATATGTTCTAGTAGTAGAAATAATGCAATGTAGTAGCAGCTAGTAAACCCTGTCAACCTACCACCACCCATGACGAGCAAACTTTTCAGACGTGGTGGCTAATGGTGTTCTCAAACATCTGTAGTAGGGTGTTCCAGAAATGCTGCAGCCTACAGATTCGGAGCTACCGGTACAAGTGGTGTTGCTGTGCTGCAGACATCCCTCGGTAGCCAGACCAGGGTAACTACCAAGCTTTGTGAACATTTATGTAGAGGTTATAATAATCATTTTATGAATGTAATTTCCTTCCAATTCTGACGAGTGTGGTAGCAGGAATCGGGCCTCGCCAATACAAAGTTGTTCCATCCTTGGGTATTCTCCCACAATTTTGGGTGCCCAAACATGGAGCTTTCATTTCATACCGGTTATTTAGGAATTGGTTAGGGAGACGTGGAATTAAAGAGGACTCGATTGTGATAGTTTAGCTTAGGAAACTAAAAGCATATTCATCAACTAGAAAATTTTATGGAGCATTTAATGGGAGTTTAGTGTTGTATCAGAACCACTCCATCAACCAGGTCTTCAACAGTAAATTCGGCCACCTAAGCTTACAGCTTTTGACGAAGCTGCAGGACCAGGTTGACTAGGATACCAAGTTGCATAACGATACATAGGCTCATTGTTTAGGGAGATAAGTTTAGTATTACTTCCATGGCAGAGGACCAGTCAAGAACTAGCTTCGTTTAAGGCTTGATTTCATTAGTGAACGATTTGAACATAGATTCATGAGGAAAGTTTTGGATGGATGAAAGGTTTATAGTTCATAATGCTTGATGAAGCTAGGAAGGAGGTGTATTGAGCTAAACGATTGGGAGGTTCCTTTTTGGGGAATTAAGTATTATCTAGGAAAATAACATTAACAGTTGTCCCTCACGGTCTCCTGAGGTTCCTTGGAAAGGAAGTTAGTCTAAATGTTCAGGTCGTCAGTAAACCTAAATTATTTAAACATGTATATAGGTCATTAGCGAGGGAAATGACGTCTAAACCACCCCCAGAAAACGCATGGTTAAACCTAGAGCTATGGTCGGTATAAACTACAAAGCGACCCAATAGACAAGGTCTTAAGAAATAAGGCACGCTTGGTTATAATTAAGTTTATTGTACAAGTACGTACATTAAGTAACTTAACTTATACAAGAGTATCTGTAGAAAATCCGGTATCTTCACTACTACGGCCGGGTTTGTTCTTTGCTGCCCGCAGGACCAAGGTATGTAAATTACAGTTCCCGGATTTAACTATTGTCACGGGGTGCTGGACTTGGTTCATCCGGCCGTCGAAACGTAACCAATAATTACCCCAGATACATCCAAAGCGTCTGAAAGAAGAACAAATAAACAATTAAAAATACAAAAGTGTACAGTACTTCGTAACAAACTCAATCATAAGTAGAAATGACTCCCCAATTACACTAATAAATGGCCAAGTTAAACCAAATATAAATAAATCCCAACAAAACACATTTTTAAACAAACAAAAAACATACTCACACAAATTACCAACAGCAGTTACAAATAGACGAGACGTATATCCTTGGGTCTTGTAGTACTGCCTCCCTTAGGGTTGTGGTCTGCACTGGTCTACCGCTGCAGCCTTCAGAGTATTTAAGGACGGCGGGGAAGGGGCGAAGGGGGGGTGGGGGTGCTTGGATTTTGGCGGGAAAATCTTAACTAGGTTAACTACCACTTCACAAGTGTTTAAGATATTTCATTTTATTTATTTTGTCTATAAGACTTCACTATGTCTTGACTATTGCCTTTGCATTGCTAATTTTACTGTTTTTATATATACAGTATAACTTGTTAATTTTTCACTATAGAGATTAATGAATGTGGTTTTACCGGGAGTTAAACAGGCGTAACAACCATTAACAGCTCTACGGTGGTCTCTGTGTGTCTGACCGCCCGTAGAAAGCCACAGTATTTGTCATGCTATATTTATGAAAACTTCAAAAGCCAGATTACAATTGACTTTCATTTGCAAGATTATAGATAAAAAAATAATTATTAGAACATAAGAAAATAAGGAGTCTGCAATAGACCGGTTGGCCTGTGAATCTCTAGGTAATCGTCACTCATAATAAGCTCATAAAAAAATTTCAAAAGTCTTTAAGCTTCGTAATAAAATAAACCAATTCAATAAATGTCTGTCTGTGTTGCGTCTGAACATTCCCAAATCTAATATAGAATTCATTGGCCAATTTAACAGTGAAATGACCTTTATCCTTTCAAGCAGACTATAGACTGCCATAAGCTTTATATAACAAGTAATGGTAAGAGAAAAGAAATATTAAAAATGGTTCAACTTCACACACATATAAATATAAGTTTCACACCCTTTAAGTAACCCGGGCAGTGTTTAAGTACTCCAGGCAGTATATAAGTACCACCAACATATAATATTTACTAACGTACGGTATTGTCAGTGGCTATAGTGAGAATACTTCAAAATTTGTAGTTATGTAATAGATCTATAATTTACTTTAGTTCTTCCAAGATTTATAATTTTCTTTAGTGCCCCAAGAACGAAGTAACATTTTCTTTCCTGTTAAAAACCCGAATTCTTTACGTTTTTAGTTATTTCACACCAAAAACTCATTTTATTTTTACAGACTCTATTACACGCTAATATAGTTTTATTTAAATTGTAATAAATTATTATTCAAATGGCGGTTTTATAAATTCAACGTAAAAAAGATAAAAAATGCTGTGGAGGTGAGCGCCATCTATGAGTTAACAGCGCTACTAAACCTTCATCACGGGGTACAGGGGAGAGTTTCTCGTCTGGTAATTCTAGGATCCATCAGCAGGAGCAGCCACTTGACAGAGAACCAAGATGGAGGACGGATCAAGCATAGAGAAACTGACAGCCCTGAAAATATCCCCTTGAGGCATCGGTAAGACATTTATTGTTAATATTATATCAGATATATAAAGTTAATAATACAGAGTAGTTGTTGGTGTATTAATACGGTGATAGAAAGTGTATTTAATGGGTAATTTAGTCCGTTGTTTGTTGATGTTATGAACGAATTTGACCTTCATTTGTGGTGCAAATTAAAAATAATTTTTGTGGTAAACCCCCTGCAAATTATCCCAAGTGGACAATGTGTTGTTCAGATGGTTGATACACTTTTAGGTGAATATTCGTCCATTGGCTGTTCTCGAGAATGAGGTTTATTCGTAGTTCTGTGTTTTACTCAAATCTGGCATTAGTTTTTGTTTGCAAAGTAGCGGTTTTTGCCCCCAAAAATGAAATTTTTGTTTTAACAGAAGCTGCTAATTTGCACAAAAATGGAGGTCAAAATTGAGTAAAACACCAAAAAAAAACTAATCTCATATCAAAGGAACCATCCAACCTACCTAACCTACAC